GGAAGAAATATCAACAACCTCCGATATGCAGATGATACCACTCTGATGGCAGAAAGTGAGGAGGAATTAAGGAACCTTGTAATGAGGGTGAAAGAGGAGAGTGCAAAAAACGGTCTGAAGCTCAACATCAAAAAAACTAAGATAATGGCCACTGGTCCCATCACCTCCTGGCAAATAGAAGGGGAAGATATGGAGGCAGTGAAAGATTTCACTTTCTTGGGCACCATGATCACTGCAGATGGAGACAGCAGCCCCGAAATTAAAAGACGCCTGCTTCTTGGGAGGAAAGCGATGACAAACCTTGACAGCATCTTGAAAAGCAGAGACATCACCTTGCCAACAAAAGTCTGCATAGTCAAAGCTATGGTTTTCCATGTAGTGATGTATGGAAGTGAGAGCTGGACCATAAAGAAAGCTGACCGCCGAAGAATTGATGCTTTTTAATTGTGGTGCTGGAGGAGGCTCTTGAAAGTCCCATGGACTGCAAAGAGAACAAATCTATCAATTCTAAAGGAAATCAACCCTGAGTGCTCACTGGAAGGACAGATCCTGAAGCTGAGGCTCCAATACTTTGGCAATCTCATGAGAAGAGAAGACTCCTTGAAAAAGACCTTGATGTTAGGAAAGTGTGAAGGCAAGAGGAGAAGAGGACGACAGAGGATGAGATGGTTGGACAATGTCATCGAAGCTACCAGAATGAATTTGACACAACTCTGGGAGACAGTGGAAGACAGGAGGGCCTGGCGTGCTCTGGTCCATGGGGTCACGAAGAGTCGGACATGGCTAAACGACTAAACGGACGGAAAGTGAAACCTAATGAAGATTTATTTTTCACTCCCTCAGTCTCTAATTCAGGATGCCAAACGCTTACATTATTTCATAGATTGTTAGGTTCCTTTCTTTCTTTCTTTCTTTCTTTCTTTTTTCTTTCTTATTTTCTTACTCCCAACACCTCTTTAAAAGCAAATTCCAGCTTCAGCTCATGGCTAAATATTTTCCCTGACAACTAAGAGATAAAAAATTTTGACTGGTCCTTTTACAAACACAGTCCATTAATAAGCAGTTTAAGAAGTTTTTCTTGGCTAGCTGTGGTGGGAATCTCCCCTCCTGCAGAATCCCCACTCTGGGGGTAGCTCTTACTCCTCACCCATTAGCTGCCGCTCGTTGTTTTTGTTTTTAAGAAAAACAAACTGCTTTTGTAGTCCACTCCCGTTGCCTCAAGGATATTGTACATTTTTTAAAGTCACTTACAGATCTATGAGCGCTTTTTTCCCTGCCTCATGTAGATTTCAGAGTGAGAACTATGGAAATTTCAAGCCGCATCCATCAAGGTCCAGGACACACCCCTTTAAGCTGCTTCTCAAGGTTTTGTGGTCCTCTTAACATGTGGTGCCCCTGAATAGATTTCAAAGTGTCCAGTTAAGAAAATCAGTTTGTAGTGATACATTTAATGGTTGGTAATGTCACAGTTTGGAAATGTTATGGACTGAAGACTGTAGTCCAAAAAGTAGTGTTTCTAAGCATTGGAAAAAACGTATTATGAGTAGCAGGATGTATGTCACATGCACACACAAGAGAACTTGTTTCCTTCTATTGTCCAGTTCTTCATACCTTTCCACAAAGCAAGGCAGCTTCTTTGCAGTTTTATAAATGAATGAAGGCTTGATATAAGCATGTACTGTTCTTAATGTGTTCTATCATTTGGTCTTTATATTTGCAGAAAGAGATGAAGGAGGTGAAGGAGAAATCTGATAGTCTAGAAAAAGAAAATGAGCAGCTAAAGAGATTTCAAGAAAATTGCATGTTGATCTTGGAAACCAGGAATTGCGATGCAGGTATACTGTACATTAAACCCAGTTAGTTTTCCCAGCTGAGTTTTCAAAAATACACTGGTACCTCGACTTGAGAATGTCCCTGCAGAAGAATGATTCGAGTTAAGAATGGCTCCGTTCGCAAAAAGTTGCTTTAACCGGCTTTGCATTAATTCCTATGGGAACTAACGCTCCAACTTAAAAACAGCACCTCGACTTATGAACGAAAAACAGCAGATACTGATTAAATGGTTTTCAATGCATTCCTATGGGAAATGGTGCTTCGACTTAAGAACGCAGTCCCAATACGGATTAAGTCCTTAAGTCGAGGTACCACTGTATAGCATTTGGGTTAAGCTTAAAGGAGATTGAGGGGAAATACATTTAAAATGTAATGAAGCATTGGAAACTCCACTACAGGTACAAACATTTTGGAGGAAACAGAGGAGAACAGGAAGACACAGGATGAAATAATGGTAAGTGAATCAGTTTTCTGGTCCCTCAGAGACAAGTAGCCTGATCTCAAGGCTATCTCAAGACATTTTGTTGCCTGGAACAAATGACAGAATTGTGCTTGCCCCCTTCCTTGGCCATGCTATGTATAGCAGGTAACTGGAATGGCAGTGAAATCTTATTTAAACTGGACACGTTTTATGGCAACTGCACAATATCCTCTACATTCCTGCTTAGGAACAGTGGAGGATTTTGCTTGGGAAGTCCGGGGTAGACTGGTACACACAGGTCTGCCTTCTTTAATCTTGCTGCTCCTTCAGGGCACCCTGTTATTTACTGTCTGAGGTTGCTGTCTCAACCGACCTATAGTGGGATGAGAATAGATAAAATAATAATGGTTTACATATTCTAAATGTTGTTACTGCTTTTATTATTTAATCTAATTTTTTTATTATTTTATATTGGCACTGACTATGCAATTTTTTTATGTCATTATTCATTTTCACCAACCAGAGTAACCATTGGATTAGATGGGTGGTATAAAAATCGAATAAATGAAATCATATTAAATAATAAACAGAGTAGGGCTATATAATTCCCCAAAGGCCCATTAGTTTGGTCCAGCTAAGTTTGTTCTGTAAAGTAATTGTATGGGTTTTGTAACTGTACGACTAAATCAAAATCTGTGGGTTAGAACCTGGCAAAACTGCTGACGTCTTTTCTTTTTAGGACTTGTCAGAGAAGCTTAAGGCTGAACTTGAACTTTTCATCCAGCTGGCTAAAGAGCAAAAAGACGTTTTTCAGGTAGAGCTACACTTGTTCTTCTGTTTCCATTTGCAGCCAAGAAACAGCACTTTGAAGTCAGGTGGCAATCAGTCTTCAGTCTCTCCTCTGTGTGGTACCATCAAACAGCTTCCCCCTCTAGGGTTCTTTCTTTATCTGCTTTCCTGATGGTGTCTTTTAGAGGGGGCATCAAACTAACAATTTACATATTTTAATTTGTTAAGAGATGAAAGAAAGCTAAAAATAGCCACCCTGCCCTGTGCAAACAAGACAATTCTAAAAGTGGTTTTCATTTCCTAACTGAAATCTGTTACTTAGCAATGGAATATCTTAGTTATAACTCTTCCCTACAGAATTCGCAAATGAAGTGGAAGCAGGTAGAGGAGGAAGAGGCTCTGTTCTTAGAGCAACGGCAGTTATTTCATAAAGAAATGGAAGAACTGTTCACCATCTTGAATAATGAAGAGGCTCACTGGAATCCATCATAAAAGCAGCAGAGGAAAAGATGCCTGAGTTGTAAACTGTTATTTTCTTGTTAAATATAACATTTGAACAAATAAATAGAACTTATTTTGCTTCTGGTCTGTCAATTTCAAGCAAAAAGTGGACTCAAGTACAGTAGGACCCCCATATCTGATGGATCAGTGTTCACTGATTCAGTTAACCACAGTCTGAAAATATTTTAAATGAAAATACCTAGATTTAGGGATACTATATTTAAATGTCATTATCAAGACTGGCCTCTAGAGGGAATGAGACACTATGTTCTATAGATGAGGCAGCTTTCTTCCAGAGCAGTGTTGTTGTAAAACTCACAACTGGGTTGGCTGGAGGAGGAGTGCAAACCTTAAACCAAACTGCCACCAGGAAGAGATTTCCCACTTCCTGCCCCTTCCTGCCTACCAGCCAGTTCCTTCCTAAGGACTCCCAGGCATGCCACAGGGCCATTGAGATATTGTGTGTGTGTGTGTGTGTGTGTGTGTGTGTAAGAGAGAGAGAGAGAGAGAGAATGAGCCGGAGAGAAAAAAATTGTCAAGTTCAGTTGAAGTCAGGAGAGAAGACTTCAGTTTGGCTTTCAGAGAGACCCTATCAAGATAAAAATTACAAGTACTGCATATAAACCACATTTTTCACCATCCATGGGGCGGGCATGGAATTTATCCCCCATAGACACAGGGGTCCCACTGTGTCCTGTAGTTGTAAACATCAGGACTACATAGGGGTCTGTCCATGTTCTTTATGCACTGAGTTCTACTTCATGTCTACTTTCTGTTCTTCCTATGGAACTGCAAGCCTGAAAGGTTTTGTTGTCATATGACTTGAATTTGTGTAATTCTATCTGAACATATACATTTTTGGAAATTAATTTTTAGCGTGCTGGAGAAGTGTAATGTCTGAAGCTGCATAGGAAGAGCCTGTGAACTTCTAGATAATCACCAGGGATAAAAAGGGTTGTAGTTCAACGATATCTGAAGGGCCACGAGCTTCGCACCTCTGTTCCAAAGGTGATTGATGTAGCCTACAGGGTGCATAGTTATTGTATGCAATAATGCAAGCAGATCATTGGCTATTTAAAAAAAAGATTCTGATCATAGAAGGGCAATTCAAGACTTGTTATAGGCACATGATGTTCTGGATTTTCTGTGTATAAAACAATACTTTTCCCTAAAACCATTAGAGGAAAAATTGAGGGTTGTTTTGTACATGGAAGGAGGCGGGGGTAAAGGAGCAGCTGCTCTCGACCACCTCTCGCGGCTGCCCATTGACTGTCGCCGTCCAGTCACCACCTCCTGCCAGAGCTCACCTCCAACTCACGTTGCTGCTGCCTTGTCCCCTGCCTGAAGGGAGCCTGCGAGTGGTGCTGGAGGAGGCAATCTGGTGGCAGCGGTAGCAGTCAATGGACAACAGCGAGAGGCAGGCAAGTGGGGCTGCTCCGTTGCCTCGGCCTCCTCCTGCTGCTGGCTCCGCTGCCGGATTGCCTCCTCCAGTGCCACTCGGGGACAAGGCGGAGGAGGGGTCATATACAGGGAAAAATATGGTATTTTATGGTTAACTTTTCATAGTTCCTGAACACCTGAAAATTGAAACAAAGTATCAGATCATGGAAGTGTAGTTTAGGAAGTTCCACTTTCATGTTTTTGTTGCACTTCTGGGAGAGACTAGATTCTTGACCCTCCAACTATCTGGTTTTCAGCTGGGTCTATCTTTTTGGGGAAACTTTATACTGGAAAAAACAAATTCTAAACTTCTATTTCAAAACCATATTTCCTTTCTCCCTTTTTTCATGTCTTTGTATGTATTCATCTGTTGTAACTGAAGAGACAGCTCATCAAATCAACTACCTAGTGTGGTTGTCCAGTGTCTGTCTGTATTATGATTCTACACGAGATCTCTGAAAGGTTTCAGTCATGCTAAAAATAATTACAGTACTCTCATATAACTTACAGTTCTGTGAACTGATGCAATAAAATTGTCAAATATGATTATTTTAAATAAATGTTTCCCCTAGTTCAAACTGCCCATGTAAAAGCCTTGGTCTTAAGTGCAAATTACACTTTTTAACGACTAGGGTTTTTTTTACAGCTGCTTGAATTGAGTTTGCAAAAAAAGTTTGAATGAGGATGAAAAGTAAGGGGAACCTTGAAGTAAAGAAGATTCCTACACCCGCTTTCTATTTTTTAAGGTGAATGTTTTAAAAATTCCTGTCACTTGGATACTGCCCACAGAGGTCAGGAGTGGCTCCAGTGATTCAAAGTATTTGGGGAAGTTGGGGAAGGAAGATCAGTTCCTTAAGGCAACAAGCAAACAAGAGGCATGGATCAGGAGTGCAAGTCCATCAAGGATAGACTTCTTACTGAGAACTGCTGATTTTCCTCCCAATCTACAAAACCAGCATCTTTTCCAATTACGTTTCGATTCTTCCTCATTCATCCCAGCAGCACATCAAGTTATTGGTTGAAACCTGTCAGTCTCTCTCGGATTCGTCATTGAAGAAGAATGCTGTGTTAAGCGCACACTTCCAGATCATTTCTCAGTACAGTATGTTGAACATAGGACATGCCTTATGCTGAGTCAGGACTTTGGTGCCATCAATGCTGCCTGGCAGTAGTTTTCCATGGTTTCAAGCAAGATTATTTCTCAAATTTACCTGGAGATCTTTAATGTCACCTGGTCGTCTCCCGAATCCTCTTTGGTTTCTGCAACTGAACAAAATCAGGTGTGTTCAGGATGCTGAGGTGGTCTAAGAGGATGAGGGGTTAAATGGAAACTTGTGCCACCTAACAAGCCCCAAAGCAATGGCGATCCTGTCTTGCCAACTGATCTTACATGCCTGCTGCCTATTTTGACTATTTTGGATGCATGGGCAGGAGCAGGTAAGTGGAAGCAGTAAAGAGCCAAGGCCCAAATCAGCCTTTTCATCATAGCTATGGTACACAGTAGGCCCTACACTATTTCATGCTATAGTTGTGCACCTTCTTTGTTTTGTAGGCAAGAGGCAGAATCAGGGCACAGTGAGATAATACATACAGAACCTTTACTGATATCTAGATACTACTGAATTACAATACAATATGAAGTTCCAGTATATTAGGTTTCAGGCAGGATGGCAGATTATCATACTTCTTCTGTTAATTTGGTTTATTTAGTGCCATAGTCTTTGTGCTGTCAGGAGCAATTTGATGAACGGGCAGCGCTAATATAATTATTAACTATTACTATTATTGTGGGTTTTTCGGGTTCTTTGGCCATGTTCTGAAGGTTGTTCTTCCTAACGTTTCGCCAGTCTCTGTGGCCACCATCTTCAGAGGACAGGAGTAGCATGTTGTGCTCTGCAAAAGTTCACAAGAGCACAGCGTGCTACTCCTGTCCTCTGAAGATGCCGGCCACAGAGACTGGTGAAACGTTAGGAAGAACAACCTTCAGAACACGGCCAAAGAGCCCGAAAAACCCACAACAACCATTAGATCCCGGCCGTGAAAGCCTTCGCGAATACATATCACTATTGTGTTTCCCCAAAATTAAGACAGGGTCTTATATTAATTTTTGCTCCAAAAAAAAGCATTAGGTTTATTTTCAGCAGATGTTTTATTTTACAATCATATCATGATTGCTGAACAATGGTGGAGGACGGGGTTTCACTTAACTGGCTTATTTTGGGGGTAGGGCTTATATTACAAGCATCCTGGAAAATCATACTAGGGCTTATTTTCAGGTTAGGTCTTGTTTTCCGGGAAACGGTATTTTCTGCTGCCTTGTGGAGCAGTGATTAATTTTCAGCAGATGTTTTATTTTACAATCATATCATGATTGCTGAACAATGGTGGAGGACGGGGTTTCACTTAACTGGCTTATTTTGGGGGTAGGGCTTATATTACAAGCATCCTGGAAAATCATACTAGGGCTTATTTTCAGGTTAGGTCTTGTTTTCCGGGAAACGGTATTTTCTGCTGCCTTGTGGAGCAGTGATTAAAATGCAGTCCTCCAGCCTAAACTCTGCTCACAACTGGGGTACAATCCCAGGTAGCCCTCCGAAGGCTCATTCGGTCTTTTAGGTTGGTAAATTGAGTACCCAACTTGCTAGGGAGAGGGCAATATTTAGCCTTCATAATTAATCTGTAAAGCATCCAGAGAGTGCTTTAAGTGCTCTGGAGATGGTATAAAAGCAGCATGGTTTTTTTTCTCTACATGCAGTGAGTGCCCTCTATGGATTGCTGCCTTGTCGTGGCGAAGGGGCTTGAGTAACTCAGAGAAGCTATGGGCTATGCCGTGCAGGGACACCCAAGACGGACAGGTCATAGTGGAGAGTTCCGACTAAACGCAATCCACCTGGAGTAGGAAATGGCAAGCCACTCCAGTATCTTTGCCAAGAACGCCCCATGATCAGAAACAAAAGGCTAAAAGATATGACGCTGGAAGATGGGCCCCTCAGGTTGGAAGGCGTCCAACATGCTACTGAGGAAGAGTGGAGGACAAGTACAAGTAGCTCCAGAGCTAATGAAGTGGTTGGGCCAAAGCCGAAAGGACGCTCAGCTGTGGACGTGCCTGGAAGTGAAAGGAAAGTCCAATGCTGTAAAGAAAAATACTGCATAGGAACCTGGAATGTAAGATCTATGAACCTTGGGAAGCTGGAGGTGGTCAAACAGGAGATGGCAAGAATAAACATCGACATCCTGGGCATCAGTGAACTAAAATGGACAGGAATGGGCGAATTCAGCTCAGATGATTATCATATCTACTACTGTGGGCAAGAATCCCGTAGAAGAAATGGAGTAGCCCTCATAGTCAACAAAAGAGTGGGAAAAGCTGTAATGGGATATAATCTCAAAAATGATAGAATGATGTCAATACGAATCC